GAGAGAGAGATCGAGAAAAGATGAGATTTTCGATTGAGGATTTGAAGTTTTAATTCTATGAAATTTATTTGTAAAGGTGTTAAATGGGCCAGCACGACACTTTAAGAGATCAAGTGATTTGTTAATGGGTCGTACCAGTCTTGCACCATTATTTTACGGGTTGTGCTGACTGCCCATTAAGATTAAGGCATGGGCCATGGCCTAACATAGCATGACTGTCTGCGTTCATTCTCTCATGGATGTCAGACTCTCGACTAATGAACCACTACTCTGCGTGCTTATGTATATAAATAGAGGTGTTGGCCGATACAAACTGTGGCAACCTTCTATCTTTGATGCCATGTATGATAGATTGTACAAACTAATGCTAAGTCTATAACTTTTGATGCCATGGATGCATCACAACACCTATTATTGGCAGTTTAGTAACAAAAGCACCCAATAGTACTGTTGTATCTTTCACCAAACTGCGTCAGACAATACGTTCTATAGCTTTATTTCTTTACCCTACATATGAAAAAGGCACGTTCATGCCCAAAATTTTTGTTAAGGTTATTTTGTACATCACAAAGAAGCAGCTTCCTGCTAATGAGCCAGTATGAAAAGCAAGAAGGTCCTATACTGAATCATTTAAATCTTTGACTATAGAATTTATTGCGAATATATAAATTCTGGGAAGACGAATTTGATTTATTTCTTTATTTATTAATATGAAATATACGAAAAGAGAGATGAAAGGATGAGACAAGTCCAAGATTTGCTTGCGTCTAGCACGTCTTCCTCTGTTGTACCTTCTATGTGGAACATCCTCGTGACATTATACCAACTAGAGTGATGCCCATGCAATGCAATTGGGCAATAAATGTAACTGTTCGAACAAAATTAGAGGTCTTGTTTTTAATGGATAAGCAAATAGTATATATAGTTTGATAATGAGTATATACAAAAACAAAATTGTTTTATCTGTTGGCAAATTTAGTGTATCATTGATTTTTCGAGGGTGATCCTTCAGTAATGAATTAGTATAGTTTGCATATCATGATATTACAGAAGGATTAAAACTTGATAAGAAAGAAAAAGAGTAAAAACAAAGAAGAAGAAAGCAACTTGGAGAAAAGCAAGCAAAAATCAAACACGATAAAAAAAAAGAAAAATGGTAATGAATATTTAATTTTAGAGATTCAAACATATAATCGTCATCAAATTATTAGTTAACATTTAATACATTCATTGATGCACTTCTTGCCATCAAAGAATATATTAAAATTGAATTAGGATATATATATATATATATATAATATTGGTCGGAGTACTCTTTGGTAATTGGTTTTTAATAGGATTAGGAATGCTTCATATAATCATAAATCTAACCGAATTAGGAGTTCAGTAAATTAGTTATCATATTGAAGGTGGAAAACAAATTATACTATGATAGTGTGATACATAATTTTTATTTATAAACAACTTGTCCAAAATAAAAAATGTTTAAAAATAAGATATTTAAAATCGACAAACTAAAACTTAAACCGTATAAATTTTTTAATTTTACTAACTCGAGATTGATTTTTTTTTGTGTATACTTGATTCAAAAACGACAAGTGATATTTTAATTAATAGTAATTAGTAAACTATTAAGAATTTATTTGATTCAAATTTAAAATACCAAAATTTGATTAAAGGTAATAGAAAAATAAAAAATTATTTAAATTTTTTATATAATTCAAACACTTTTTAAAATATTACATCTGGGTTTTCCTTAATTGTTGATACTAGCTCTTTGTAGCAGGATATACAATTAATCATCTAAGATCTCATATCATTTTATATTTTTACTGCCCATTATTTTTACCAGGGAGCAGCTGGTTGATCATTGCATATTAAATTAACTTGAGGTACTATTTCCAGTCACATGCCAAAAATTCTCTGGCAATCAGCCTGTTGGAAAAAGTTAGGTTTGGGGCAGAGAGGTACGGCCAGGAGGGATAGAAGGAGAAGATGTTTAAACAATATTACATGCCCTACGGTTGAATATGCAAGCTAGGACTAAAATATGCACGTATATGTGTGTGTCTGAGACAGGGAAAGGAAGGTCTATTAACGCTGAGAATGCAAAGCAATGCATTGATGTAAACTTGAATATCACTGCTGAAGAAACCAATATCACAGCGATGCAAGCTTAGCTTCAAAGAGTAGAAAGCTTGAAGAAAAGAATGTAGCGGACAAATATTTATGCCCCATCTAAAGTACGAGGGCTGAACAGCAATAACATAAGAACTGCATGATAGGTTCAGAGAGAGCTATTATGTGTCTAGTAATAGTGTATATATTCAATTGTTGATTTCCAGGAGGCATGCACCGTGACAATGAAGGCTTCATACATTTGACATTTGAGACTAAAATGCATAGAATAATGTGTAAAGCAAGTTGAAAGCTGTTTAATAAAGGGAAAAGAAAGAAAAAGAACACGAGTTGAGTTCGGAAGTTGCATGGAAATGACAAATATTGCACCATATCAATCAATCGAATTTAAAATGTTATGTGCATGAAGCAGAAATATAACACCAAAACAGAAGGGTTGCCAACATTGAATCATGTACTTCGTACTTCTGAAAACATTCACACGTATAGCATATATTTGTTAAATCTACATTGCATTTAATGTGTTGTTGTCAGCTGTTGAACACCGAAGAGGCAATGAATCCTGCAGATAATTGTTTGGAAGCAAAGGCGCAGCCATGGAACATCCACGGAACATGCAGGGATGGGCTTTCTGTTACATTAGAAAAATCTATCTATCTGAAGTTTGACAAAAAAAATGTTATCCTAAGAAAATCCAGAACTATGACTCTGACACATCCGATGATTCAGAATCATCAGAAGATCTTTGACTTGTGCTTGCTGCTCTTTCGCTTCCTATGACGACGATGCTCATCATCCTCAACAGAAGATTCCTCCCTCTTCCTCCTCTTCCTGCTACTTTCATTCTCGTCATCTGAATAGCTGCTTCTGGTCTTCCTACCAATCCTTTTCTTTGACCTTCTTCTCTTCTTTCTCTCTCCATAATCTGAATCCGACCCATCATCGCCATCGTTCGTTTTCCTTTTACAGCTAACCGTCTGGCCGTATCTTTGAGCAATAATCCTCTCAATTTCCGAATCCACATCAGAATCCGAACTCTCACTCTCATCTTCCTCTTCCTCCTCCTCCTTCCCATTCACTTTCCTTCCTTTCAGCTTATCCAATCCATTCAAAACCGCAGCCTGAATCGCTTCGGGGTCTTTCTCCTCATCCTTCAAACTCACGAAGTTCTTACACTGAAAAGTAAGGTGCCCAACACGCCCACACTTTTTACAGGCTCCACGAGTCGCATCCGCATCTGACCTGGTGATTCGGGCAAGTGCTAAAAGCCCTTGAAAGCTAGCGTAGGGGTTTTCGCCTTCGGGTTCAGCACTGGCGACCTTATGATTAGATGAACTTTTGGAATCATCCTTGGGCGCATAAGGATCGTAACCGATTGCACTTTGCCAAATCCCGTGGGTTTGTAAGGCGGCGCTACTGTGCACCCTGTTGTTCGCAGGCATCCGAACCCTCCCTGCGGTGGCCGGCATCTTGTAGCGATTGATGGATCAAATTTGACGCGTTTAGGGTTTTCTTTTTTTTTGAATTGGAATCCTCACTTCGGAATCGAATTGAAGAAGATGATGGAAGAGCTAATGATGTTTCGATGGTTAGAAGTGTTTTTATAGAGGTGTTGAATGGGCCAGAGGGCTAGCAAGACCCTTTAATCAACTCATTTTTTAATGGGCCGAACCAGCTTGGTATCATTATTTAACGGGCTATGCTGAACGGCCCATGAATATTAAGGCATGGCCTAACCTAGCAGGACATATGGCTGACAGGCCAGCCTGAGTTGAGTCAAGCACGGTTTTCTCAATTTTTTTTATTTAATTTTTTTAACTTAACATTAATGATCAATACATGACATCAACAATTGCAAATCGATTTATAAACGTTAGAGATATGGTCTCTTTATTTATAATCTATGTTTCATGTTTTTGGTACCTAGATTGGCTCCGATTCATGGGTGTAAAAGGGAAAATGAAAAATACAATTGATGAAAATATTATATTTCAATGATCGAACTTTATTTATACTCAATTATAAATACACAAAACTATTATAATCAATTTTAATTAGGGTTAGATATCTGATTAAAAACTGTCCTTTGCCATTCATGTAAGGATCTTCTAAATTATCTAAGTTAACTCACGGGTACTTTTAATCATGATGGTCAATATTGTTCACTTTAATTTTATAATTATAACTCATACATTCATTGAAAATAACACTATCAGACATTTTATATATCCATGGTAGAATGTGAAAGTAATTAAGATATATACAATCTCCCATATAGAACAATGGATAGAAGTATAGAACCCCGTCTGCAATTAACAATATATGTCAATGCAAAAGCTACCAACCCCATAAAGGCAAATTATAAGGCTAACCAGTATCTGACACAGGCGATTTTGAAGAAAACTCCATAGTTGAAGTCCCTAATGACATTAATGGAGATGTTGAACAGAATTTATATTGATGCAACTCATGGGAATGGTTTGCTTACCTGCGCAGTCCAATGCAATTCCATTCCGTGGCAGTTCCTCGAATTTCATCATGTAGAATCCAAGTGATTGCGGTATTCCCTCACCATTTTTTGTGTGCAAAGTTGGCACCAGGTCCCCAGTCACATGCCAGTTTATGTTGTTATTCGATCATGGGCAATGTGTTATTGGATATGCCAAAAATGCAAGTTGAGGATCATAACCTGATTGCAACTGCTGGTGCCCTTATGGATGGATGGCTCTATCTTGCAGGCGGGTACAAGGGCGACCCTTCTTGTAACTTCTAAACTTCACCATATTTTGTAGCATGTTTAGATTAATGTATATCCTTTGTTCCTGACAGTTGCTTGAAAACTGCATCCAGACCCAATTCTTCTTTGTTATTTCTGCCAGGGAATAAACATTTAATCACCTTATTTTTGGTGATATTTATAAGGGAAAAAAGTTCTTCAGGGACAAGATTGGATGTCTTTGTAGCAAGTTTGAGATAAATCGTTTGGCTCAGGTTGACCCTGGATTTGTTAGAAGTAGCCATCTTAACTATGACAGAGTGTCTTGACCAGGATCTTTATGTTGGGGTTTCTTCTTCTTTAATTATGGTCTGGTGAATCTTCGTAGATAAACAAATAGAAGTCATTCTGTCACAAATTGATTCTTTCAGTGCCAGTTTCACCAATTAGGCTATCTGCATCAGTAAAAACAACTAAAGCAAACTCTGTAAAGCTCTTAACATATTTGCATTTAGACTTGTTTTTGTCGAATTATTTGATTTAGATTTCTGAACATTCGTTGCAAAAGGGATTTTAGAATAGCCTTTCCCCTCCAGATGTTCACAGACAGGCTAATGGAATTACACAAATCTAAACCAGATTTTTATACTTATTATGAAGCTGCAAAAGCTAACCTAGTTGTCATCTGGGTCTTTATCATTACCAGATGTTGAATCTTCAGACTTTTTAAACTTGTCAGAGCGGTTGAATCTCAAGACTTGGGAATGGCAAACATTGCCAGCTATGCATGAACCTAGAGCATTTGCAACCGGCATCACACACAATAACAAGTTCTATGCCATTGGCGGGGGAGCAATTCTCAAGAACTCCACTGAAATCTACAACCCCAGCTCGAATTCATAGCAGTTCCTCAGATCGTTCATGCCTAAAAAGGCAGGTGGCTTCGCTGTAGCGTCACTAAACACATGCCTGCTGATGCTAACTTGTTCTGATCAGCTAGGAATCAAGCTGTGGCTTTGGATTGAAATGGCTAATCCATACTTGATTGGTGGGTGGAGACTGATCAGTTTCTTTCCAAACCAGCAAATTGAGAGAGGTAGGCTAAGGGATATGGTGCTAGAATGGTGAGAGTTGGCCAGGAACTATTGATTATGGCAGGTGATCGCCATGGAGTATATCCAGTAGATGGCATGAGCGCTTGGCCGGTGCTGCCTCCACCAATGTTTAAGCCAAGGGATGGTTGTGAAGTTGTGCTTAAGGGCTACATTTATGCCTTTTCTTTTCAATCTGGTATAAGAATAAATTTTAGAAAGATAACAGTTTATTCAATTTGACATTTTATTTTGTTCCATTAGTAGGATTAATGGACATTCTTGAAAAGCCAGTAAGAAACTTCTCTGGGGTAATATTTCGTTAATGAATAAATGATCTATAAACATTATAATAAAGAACAGAGAAGTTTAATTCCTCTGAAATGTGATTGAAAGGTTTCCTTTCATATTCCATACTGCACATGCTCTTGAAAACAAATTCTTAATTCTTTTTTTTTTAATTTTCTGATCTAGAAATATTTAGATAATTAAAATTGTTAAAATTTTCAAAGAATAACATGGAATGACATCATGGCAAAACAAAAGTCATATACATACATAATTAAATTACTACCATGGATTCAGAAACCTTCTTAATAGGTTAATATCTATACACATATACATATGAATGTGTGCATGTTATTTTAACTGTTTAGCAGTATGGATGAAGAGTGGTAAGGTATGTATATAAGAAGCATACCCTGCTAGGCAGCTCAGACTATGTCAAATGGGAATAAAAGATTTCAGGCGGATGCTACGGCCTACGGTTTCGTAGATTTTTGTGGATGGCATCTAGGAAATACGCACACACGCAACTATCTTTATTCATTTTCTGAGCAATTCGTCAAGCAAAGTAGTTAGAAGATAAATGCATTCACCGTGGAGAAAACAGTGAAAGCAGAGTTTCTTATTTGATTTAACGAAGAAGAAAGCATGCCATCAAGCATGTTTTCAGGTTCACTGTCAGCTCCGAGTGTTAATGTTACAATAGACACGGGAAATCCTTTTCTCAATCAAACTGTAGATGGTTTCTTGAAGATTGGAACTGTGATTTATATTTTATGCCAATTTTTTTAAAAACTTTTTTGGGGTATTTCCATCATTTAATACATTGCCATGGCTTCTTTTTCAGGTTGCAGCCACGAGGGCAGTTGCAGAGGATACATTCACAGCTATTAAAAGAGTTAACATTCACTATTCCAATTTTTGTTTTTTGATACAAGTTCAGTTTGAGTAATTAAGAGTTAAGCTTGTTTTGGTATCAAGTTCCTGTGACTTGGCCCTGGAAAACCACTGTCTGTTCATTTGGATATTTTCCTGTTGTACGTAAAGAACTTTCATGTGTTTCCTAACCACTTCCCAGACTAGAGTATTGCTAGAATCCTGGAATTTCAGCTTAAAAATCTATTATCTAATTATCAGATCATATTGAAAACATGGTTGCTGCCATGTTTGCAGGGAAGCTATCACAGGAATGTTTAGAGCACGCAGTAAGTAGTTTGTTTGGACATTACTAGTTGTAGCTCCCGGTGAAATTGACACAATCTTCTTCTCCTTCTTATGAGGAATGTTGTTATAATTGCAGCTCAAGAGGATGTGTAAAGAAGGTGCTTACTGGGGTAAGTATGTGGCATTTTATATAGAAACTTCAAATTTACAACTTCTCAGGTGGTTTGGGTAACTATTGTTGCATTAATTCTTTACTGCAAAATCAAAGAAAAAACTGACATATTTCTTTGTTGCACTAATAGGTTCCGCAGCTGGAGTATATGTGGGAATGGAGTATGGAGTAGGGAGGATCCGTGGCTCGAGAGACTGGGTATGTTCACTAGACTTGGCACTGAATATCTACTTCATGCATAAGCAAGCTAGTAAAGCGGAAAAATGTTAATGCCATTGAAAAGATTCAAATTCCATTTTGAGCTCATGAAGTTCACTTCCTTTCGTTTTTTGGATATGCTGGCACATTGGGTTTACAGAAGAATGCCATGATCGGAGGTGCTCTCACAGGGGCTCTGGTCTCTGCGGTCAGCAACAATAACAAAGACAGGATCGTGACGAATGCCTTCACAGGAGGTGCCATTGCCACTGCCTCAGTGTTCCTCAATAACCTCACCTAAACAGAGCAAACTGGATTTCTCTATCCTGTCTCATTTCCAGTATTGCCATGTGGCGTGACCCTGTTTTATTTTCGTTTTACATTTCCTTAGTGAATTTGTCTGGTTGAAAGAAAAGAAGAATTAAACAGTTAACATAACAGATGCCAAGTGTGTGTTTCTTTTCACAATTGTTTAACTTTTTCCGCTAAATATCTCACTGTCTGCATGCCATTGGGCCACCAGTGAAAGAAATGATAACTTACTCTGAGGAACATACAGTTTCAATTAATACTAGCTACATTACATTCATTACAAGGAATTTATTTTGACTACTTTAAATTGTAAAATGGTTTCTTTCTTTCCACACCCATGAAAGGATGGTAATCAAACTAATAGTGAACTGTACAGAAAAGATAAAACATTATTGATCATATAATTTTTTTCAATAAAAAAACAAAACTTTATGTACAAGGCCGACCAATTCAAGTGTCCATATATTCTACAATTGTAATTCTACATTTATGAAATCTTGTTTATTTATGAACATGGATTTCATCAACAAGCCACATTCTATGAATGAACAAGATTCATGTATTGTTGAATTGTAGTAAGTTAGGAACAGAAAGAGGCTGTGGGAGCAATCAACCCTTATATTAGGAAGCAATCTATTTGGCCTAAACTACTCTCTCACAAACAAAGAACTTCATCTAAAAGCTCATCAAAAACTAATTCTTCTAGCTCAAGTGCCACGAATTCTGCTTCGGCTTGAAGGTTCATCCAAGAAGCATCTTTGGCAAAATCTGGAGCTATGATATCATCCAATGACTGGTCAGTCTCCGGCTGGGAGGCCAGGTTCTTGCTAACTTTTGTCCACACCTCTTGAAGAACATTGTTTCCCTTAAGCATTGGACCAAGGCGACGGTTAAAGAAGTAGGGATTTGGGAAGTATATAGATGGTTTTTCAGTTATCTCAAGAAGTGCCTCATTAACTAGATCAAAAACAAGCTGATGATCACAGTTGCTACCAACTTCCTCAATGGAGCATTCCATTTCAGGGTGCAACAAAATCTCCAATTCCTTGAACAATGAAGGGCTCAATGTGTGGTCTGGTGAGTACCATGTCTGGAGGTACTCATTTTGTATGAAACCTGAGAGCGCAAGAACATCTCTCACATAAGTGTAGCAAGGATCAGCATCCTTGTCTGATTCAAAGAATAGGAAGCGACTGCTGATCCCAACGGTTTCATGTTCAAGATATTCGTGACTTATTGTGCATCGGTCTTCTAAGATGGTAAAAGACTCTGCTTCATCTTCATGTAGGTTTATCGGACGATGCAATTCTAAACCTGATAAAAGTTTAACCAAAACTGTTAGCAGTCACTCCTGGAACGTATATCAAGAACATAAAGAGTTTTATCAAACCAAAAGCAACTTATATCAACACAAAGGGAAAAAAAAAGTTTCTTAAATATGCTTTGCGAGGTAGAAACATTTACCTTCTGAGACTGGATGCTCTGCCCAACTGGTTATGTCATCTGAATCTAAAGTTGGTTGTGCAATCTCTACACTTGGATTGACTGCACAAACAATCTTCTGCTCTATGTGAGGACTTCTCTTCTCCATTTCCAGCTCAACCATATCTTCATCGAAGTCAAATGGTTTTACAATTTCTTTACGATTTCCATCCACTAATAAACCAGTTGAACTGCGGTTATTTCCTTCTATCAATTTTTCCTGTGATTGAGCCTCTAGAACAGCTTCTACTAGTTCAAATTTTTTTATATCTCGAGGAAAACTAATTGATTTTGGTTCATTATGCCCAGCACTTTCCTTGTTTGCATCATAATTTACAACAGTTCTGATTGGCATCTCTGAAGAAAGAGCTTCACGAGACACCTCATGTAGAAGAGTGCAAAAGGAGTCAAGATCAGATAGAGAGGAAATCCTTCTGAAAAATTTCGGAGCACAGACTTTTGATGGAACTTTATCTTCGTTGGTCAATTTTAAGCTCTTAGAGTGAAGTAAATTGGCCTCTTTGCTTACACTATGCTCAAACAACTGAGTATATCTATCTAGTGACTCATTTATAGACTTTGTTCTTCTTATCCTGTTGAGTCTGCCATTGCTGGGATCAAGACCAGAAGCATTGGTTTGATAAGAACAATTGAAATAGTCTATGCCACGTTGCTCCACAGTTGTCTTTTCCAAGCTTTCAGACATCTCTCTCTCATATGTGGATAATGCATCTCTTGAAGAAACATGAAGGGTGAGTCCATCCACCATTGTGTGGTTAATACTCTTTCTCCTTTCCCTGAGGGCCTGCTTTATTCTCTGCTTAATATCCTTGAGATGATTCATAATTAAATGATTCCACCTTGGGGAATCAGATCCTGGGGATGAAGAGCTTGCTTCTTCCGTTAAGATGTTTCTAAAACTATCATCAGTTGTAAAAACCCTTGACTTAGATAATTGAGAATTAGTGCATGATTTTTCTCCTTTTCTGAAGGACCAAACTTCTCTCTGCTTGTGCTCAAGTGTACAAGACCTAAGATATCTAGTGCGTGCTGAACCAGATACAGGAAATGACCCTGATTTTGCTAATCTTACTGTCTTGGAAGTTTGCTTTCCAGGAAACTGCTGTGAAATACCAACCTCCGTATCTTGCAGAATATCTAGGAATAAATTTTTGGATACCTTCAATATCTCCAGAACATCCAAGCCCTCCTTAACCTGATTATCTGAAATGTTAAGCTTCTTAGCCATTGGTTTCTGATTTATTAAGGTCCTGGTTCCCCTTTTTTTATCGAGCTTCTTCTGGAAGAGAGTATGCTTTTCAATCTCCTTGTGTTCCAACTGACTGTCTGCATTCACTCTGTCATGGATATCAGACTTTTTGCTCTTTGTAACTTGTTTCCTCAGAAACTCCGACATAGAGGAAGTCAAGCTGGTCCCAGAGTTGTTAGCTCTCTTGCGGACGAGAACAACTGGATTCAAATAACCAAGACCAAAACCTGAAGGTTGCAGATGATGGGTTGAATCAGTTTGCTGTAGCTGTGATCTTGCAAGAAAGCCCAAAATCCAGTGCTTATGGTTCTCTTCCTTAGACTTCTCTTTACCAGCTAACCCCTTTGTGTAGGCTTCACCAGAACTTTTGTTGGTTGAGCCTGTTTTTCTTGCATGCTGTTGAACCTACTGAAATAGGTAAGTCAATTGATATTCTATTGCATGCCAAACAATTCCATTGCATGAACAAGAACTTGATATTTGGCTGGTGATCATCATCATATATTCGCATTTAATATATACAAAAACACTAAGAATTTAACGTCAACTTACTTGGTTGTGACCCGCCTCACCACCTAAAAATCTTTGGGTTCCACCAGGTTCACGTTCCATAGACATAGTTTTTGGATTTGCACAGCCTGCAATTAAGAAATAAATCCTGCTAAGCATAAAGAAATCCACCTTCTTAGAAGAGAAAGTCCAACATCATAAGATCTGGTTGGATCAAGTAGGCAAAGGGAGAATCAAATTTACCTAGGAAAATAAATATCTCTATTAAAGGCTTAAGATAAGATCTAAGCGAGTTTCATCTGCTTCCTTACTCATGGATAAAATTTTGCTGCCCGAAGCGTCAGGAAATACAAACTTTTGCAGCCTCCTACCTTTGATGCCATGTATAATACATTGGACAAACTAACGGTAAGTCTATAACGTTTAACAGGGGATTCATCCAACAACATTGTTATATCTTTCACCTAACTGCATCAGAACAATACATTCTATAACTTTTTTTTTTTTCTGTACTCTACCTATGGAAAAGGGTCATGCCCACAATTTTCTTTTTTAAGGTTAGTTTACGCATCACAAAGAAGTCGCTTCCTGCCAATGAGCCAGTATGAAAGCAAGAAGGGTCCTATAATAGTTATATAAATATCTTTAACTGTAGAATTTAGCGTGTATTATATAAAACTGGTATTAAGAATTTGATTTATCTGTCTACTTACTAAGAGGAAATATAAAAATATTGTAGTATTAAAAAAGAGAGATATGAAAGGATTAGACAAGCTTACATCTGGCGTTTCTTCCTCTGATGTACTTTCTGTGTGCGAACATCTTCTTGACATTACACCAGTGATGGTAGTCAAGAACATTAAAGATACCCTGCATGCATCCTGGATGGTAACTTTCGAATTCAACATCATCGGAATATTCATGAAATTCCCTTCCCATGTTGAACACAACAAGAAATGATTCCTTAAAGCCTGAAATCCGATGCTTGATTTCAACTAATAGGCTCACACCCTTGTAAAACCTGTTGTAACAGAAAAAAAAAACGCAGTTTTAATTAAAAAAAAGATAACTTGGTTTTCTCCTACATCTGGATTGTCAGTCCAGAAGAGATGACAATCAACCAGCAGATAGGACTTATTCATGTTCGAGAAGTTTGTGAAATTTTCTAATTTTTGTGAACTACAAGGAACCATGTTGATACCTTCTGATCATTTCAAAGCGAAGAAGAAACAGTTAAAAAAAAAAAGGAAAAGCAATCATTCAATTGGAATATGTTGCCAAGATCAACAAGAAAGGGTCAATTTCAATAAAGAAGTTTAAGGTGAGGTTCATAACAGGAAAGGAGTAAAGCCTGCAGATTTGGCAGCTAAGAAATCAGTTTTTCCATAAACTTTATTAAGCTATGAAAAACAGCTGCCTTCCATAAATTTTCAAACGTTAAAAAAAAAGACAAAATTTGATTATGCAATCACAACAGCAATAACATAATCGAGAAGAAAAAAGGCAAAGAGAGAAAGTAACTTAGAAAAACGCATTAAAAACCTTAACTTGGTAACCAAGAACTTAAAAAGCTTACCTGAAAGATGCATGAGAGAGCTCAAAGCTCTGAAGCAAGCAAGGAAGTCAAAGAGACAACAGAAAACCAAATAAACATTCAAAAATCTATAGAAAAGATCAACTCCATAGTTTTCTATGATATAAACGCAGAGGACACGCTTTCTTAATCTCCACAAGAATCAGAAGAGGACGATGGAGGTCGTTAGTCCCTTGCTCTAATTCTAAGAAGGTCCAAAAACGAGGAAATAATATAGACGCCAGAGTTGGTTATATGGAAGGCTCACTTTACCCGCCAGGACTGGTCCACTGTTTTGGTTTTGTGGCGCTATCTGGTCCAAATCCTAAGCTAATGGCGAAAAGGGTCACGTCAATGAAGTAAGCAACGGGCTAACTTTAGCTGACCAAACCATAATAATGCTTACTTAAAAGAAGACTGTAGATAATATGATGTTAAACTCGCACTTTCTGTAGATTACCAACTCTTTTCGCCCATCCCAAAAAGATTATTACTATATCACCAACTACAAGTAGAAAACAGAACAATGGGGGAGGGGGAGCTTGGAGATTGGAGGTTGGGCTTTTGTAGGAGAAGAAGGTGATGTCAGGATGCTGGTTTCAAAGCAGTAGTTGTAACTTACAAGTTCTTCGTATCCCTTTCCTTTAGTTAGAGAAGAGTGAACCCAGCGACATTTAATGGCTGCCATGCACGCGCACACACACACACATATATATATATATCTCTCTTTGTGTCTCCCTTTTAATTATAGAGGAGAAAACCCTTTCCAAAACACCTGCAACATTGAAAGTATATCAACTGATTGTGCCTTTAGATAAAGAATCAAATTCAGGACATGTATGATTTCTTTTTCCATAAAGCATTTTTTCTAATTGTACCTCAAATGTTTACTTAATTTTTGGTTCAAAAAATGCATCATAACTTGAGCAGAGAATTGCACTTCTATTTGTTAACTGATGTTATAGATATATAGAATTAATTCCTATTGTCTAATATATAGCCACTAGTCTCACAAATGCATAAATATTAACATTATTAGGCTTAAAATATGATCAGAGGCAAGGGTCCAACTGATAAATATAATTAAGAAATAAGTATTAGATCTCCACCAATTCATGTCCCTGTTTCTTTATCATTTCATACCTGTTGGCCTGCAAAGAAATGAGTCAAAAGATAATTGTCCTAACGCTTGCAATAATTTTCCCTAGGCAGCCAACATTTATAGCTCCTTAGCTAAAAACTGGTGTGGGTAGAATTACATAAGCTAGTTGAGAATTAGGGCCAAAAATTATAATAATTAAAGCTGGTTTTCCATCTACTTTTTATGGCCAGTATTTATGCTCCTTTGAAGATATCTAACAAGATCACATCAACTGCTTGTATTATACCAGTAGTCTAGCTTTGCTAGCTTAAACGAACTTTAGATTAAATTTTTACAATAAGTCAAAGAAAGAAAACCTTCAAACATTATAAGCCAATGCTAATCAACTGCTTTTTGTTTTTCTTTTTTCAATGAAGATAAATGGAATTATAATTAGCAGATGTAAGCATGCAACCATAATTATTTGCTTATGTCCACTACGGGGAGGAATGGAACCTCAAAAGTTGACCTAGAAAATGACTCTCGAACTGGAAATTCTGGGAATGTCGATGGGGACAATTTCATTGACTTGGGATCAAGGTTTGTTGAAACGTTGACGTCGTCTCACGAGTCTTGAGTGTTCAGATCATTTCAAAAGCGTGGGCTGAATCAGTTATGGTTTCAATTCAGGAGGTCCAGCCAATTGATCGAGCAACGTTATGGAAGCTTTAAGATTACAAGGAAATTTGCAGGCGCGGCCGAATTTTTCCAGGAGTCAAAAGCCTGGGACTTGACTGATCTGTGTGTTTAGACAACTGTAGAGATGTGGTCTGTGGTTGGTAAGCTGAAAAGTTTGGACATGCCAAGACAACTTCATCATCCTACAAAACTGTTGTGAACTGTTGTGCAGTATTGTTTAATATAATAATCTTAAATATAAAGTACTTATTATTATAAATTAAGCTTTACATCTTTCTTTTGTTAGACTTATTTTTTTCTAATTTTATCAAGTCTTCATGATTGGGCAGCCATTGGCCAACGTGAGGCGCCTTAATTGACTAAACAACTCATGCCAGGTCGAAAAATCACTGACTCACATAGCAAAAAGGGGCCAATCTTAAATGGTCTGTAGGCCCAGAGCAGCAACACAAAGCCCAAATGGCTTTCATTTCCCTAAGCAAAGTACCACAGCAGCCCCTGCCTCAGCGTGATCAGAGATCACCTCACCCCAATCCCTGGCAACTTCACCGCACACTTACTTTTCACCTGGTCGTCATGGAGATGTTTGGCGTTATGCGTAAGCAGTGCCGGAGCTTTTTTGCCTGTTAGATTCAAACCCCAAAATGCGAGCTGTTCCTGTTGAAAACAAAAAAGAAAAAGAAGAGTTTCTTCTTTAAGTTCCCCGTGAGGAGAATATTATATGTACAAGGCAACAGAACTTCACTCTACTTGGCACAGCATTTCCTTTCCTTTCTGATGCCAATCAGAAGAAAAAGAATTGGACATTCCTTGCCTTTACGTGAGCATTTGAAAACCAGATGAATACATATAAATAAATTCAGGTGATGCTTACCTTTTAAGTATCAAATGTACTTGAAATTTAAATATAATTCGGGGTGGGTATCTAATTTTATGTCGTAAAAGAAAGAAAATGGAGCACTAAAGAGACATAAATAGGAGACAATTATCAGTTACAAAGTACAAACACTCTCATCACTTTTGTCTTAGTTCCCCCATTTTCACTTTGGTTCTCTTTAAGTTCTTGAAGACACTTTATCAGTTTTGTTTCTGCTCCAACTTCTACGTATGTACTTCTTCCTCCAAACTCCAAAATTTTTCTCTTTTTATGTTTCTTTTTGTTTGGGTGGATTCCTTCTTGTTCCTGCTTCACTTCCACATCTCCGAAAAGCCACCTTACAATCTCAAAAGCAGACGGCTAGCTCTCCTTGCATGGACGGTGATTGCTGTCATAGCCACCGTCCAGCATTTAGACCCGACGTTTCTAAATCAGGGCCCCCATTCTAACACATTGCCCTTCCTAATAGGGAATCCTATCACCATAATTAAACAAATATAAATTGAAAGTGAAGAATGCAAATATGCAATGGTCACTTGGGCTCGTGATCAGGAACTTGACTCTCTTTCAATAAGCTCTATGTTTTGTGTGGGACAAAAGTTTCAGGTGTGTTTCAGGCCTTCACCAGTAACTTTCTGGACTGATATTTCTGCTATAAATTTATTGCTCGCATTTGTTTCTCTATTCAATCCTAGTCTGAAACATCTCTGCGAAGAAATCAGTTTCATTTCACTCCCAACCCCCATTTTTTCTAGTCAATCGTTCTCGATGTACACATATGAAGTTCTACCATAAATATATGAGAAAGGCCAACAAAAAAGTTACAATAAATATATTTATGTATATAATAAGAGGAAAAAGATAGATAAATAATATTCAACGGTCCATAGCCTCAGTCCTTATATATCAACCTTGTTAATTTAAGCATTTAAAATGGAAATTTATTTGGATTAAAAGGAAAAAAAAAAAGGAGAACAAAAGTGATTTGAGACATAACATTTCATATCATAGCAATATATATAAATTCCCCAAATTGAGTTTTGAAGAAGAATGATTTTTCATTAAATTTTTAATCATATATGTCAACAAATTAAATTACTTTTATTTAAACATGAATTGAAGTTTGAAATGATGTACTTGTAAAAAGCATCATAACTTTTTTTTCTGTTTATATTTCCTTCTTAAATGTCTTAAAATGAATTCATTTTTCATAATTTTTTTATATATTAAAAAACATTAAACATCTATTTTTGAAATATTTATTTTACAATAAGTTATCACTTCTTCATACATTATTTAAACAAAAAAAAAAGCTTTAATTAAAGGATACATATGATTTTTACTTACATTGATGTAATGGCTGAGAACTATGCCGTAGACTAAGCAATGCTAGCCCAGGGGGCAAGATTCTCAGATAGCCATAGACTAAAAAACCAATGGTGGACTCGAATCTTTGCTTAATTATATGATTTAACTCCTCCTTTAGGTTTTTGTTCTTCTCATTTACCATCCATTTAGTATACCCATACTTTTTTGTCTCGGATTAATTAAGCATTGCACTTGGAAGATTCATATATGTATAAACTATATTTATGTAATAATTAAGTTCGGTGTGTACCATATATCTTATTATTTTTATAAGATTTTGGGAATATATTTATATTCCTTTCCTTGTGGGATATGATGGAGTATACATCTTCAAATAGCAAACTCATAAATGGCTCGTGCACTTTGAGACCCCCTTTTTTGTACAAGGCCATAAACCACTAATCCAAAAACCAGAGCATGCATTAAGATATAATATAGTTTTTTTATAGTATAGGTTTTTTCTTAATTTTAATATTACCATATCAATATAATTAACTTATATTTTATCCATTTTTTTAAAAATTTGAATGAAGTTTAAATTTACTAGTTAAGTCAACAATTGTACATGTCAAATTCGAGTAATTAATTTATTTATCGAAATTAGAGCTGAACTCAACATTTCACTAAATTAAGCTAAATTTAATTTAATTTATTTAGGTGTCATTCGTATTTGTATGGCGTAATAATTAAGTTAATTGGATTGGTTGAAAATTTACTGTGGAAACAAAATAAATTTGGAAATCAAGGGAATTAAAGTAGTACTTGAAGGACACGTGACGTTAATAGAAACAAAGGAGTCTAACTCAAGTTATCACAGAGAGCAACCTTTGATTAGGACATTGAACTTGAAGGCTTGTTTTAATTTGCATTTATTTATGTTGCAATTAATTTAACAAAAACCTGTCATGAACAACAGTAACAGGACGTGCATTCACTCACGTCAGAGCTGCGAGTGAGGGAAAAAGCGAAAAAGAAAAGCTTAATTGATTTGTATAGAAATCCAAATGACCATCATCATAATCATTGTGATCAGCCATCATCCCCACATCATCAAAATCACACTCTCTCTCACTCTCACTCACTCTGCACTCTCCCCTTCGAACGATCAAAGCCTCCACCCCCATTCTTTTCCTTTCACTCTCAAACTCTGCGAAGGACAGAGAAAGAGAGAAAAAACATGGCAATTTCATTCCCAATTTCGAATACTACCCCTCTCACATTCTTTTATTTACTCCTCCTATCCTCTTCCTCCTCCACCATTTCCACCACTGCTCTCAACATAACCACCATCCTTTCCTCCTTCCAAAACCTAACCTCCTTTTCCTCCCTCCTCTCCTCCACTTCTGTTGCGTTTGACCTCACGCGCTGCGACTCCATTACTTTACTGGCCGTCCCAAACTCTTGCCTCTCGCTTTCACCATCCTCCGACATCACGCGCCGTCTTCCACCGTCCTCACTTGGCGACATTCTCCGCTACCACATCCTCCTACAATACTTCTCATGGACCGACCTCCTCCAGATCCCACCCTCCGGCGTCCTCGTAACTACGCTCCTCCAAACAACAGGCCGGGCCCATTCCAACTTCGGTGCCGTAAACATCACCCGTAACCCTTTAACCAACACAATCACAATTCAATCACCCGCCCCGTACTCCCCCTCAAACGCTACCGTCTTATCCTTAGTCAAAACCCTCCCATACAACATCACAATCCTAGCCGTTAATTCACTCCTTGTTCCCTACGACTTCAATCTGATGGCTTCCGAGACCCGCCCTCCCCTCGGCCTCAACATTACCAAAGCCCTAATCGACGGCCACAATTTTAATGTCGCGGCCTCAATGTTATCCGCTTCCGGCGTCGTTGAAGAATTCGAAGCCGACGAAGGTGGTGCCGGGATCACTCTCTTTGTCCCCACAGACGATGCTTTCTCCGATCTGCCGGGAAACGTGAAATTGCAGTCGCTTCCAGCTGATAAAAAATCGGTGGTTTTAAAATTCCATGTGCTTCATTCTTATTACCCTTTGGGTTCACTGGAGTCGATCGTGAACCCAGTTCAGCCCACGTTAGCGACGGAAGATAACGGGGCCGGTAGTTTCACTCTCAACATTTCGAGAGTCAACGGATCCGTCGCGATCGATACAGGAATCCTTCAAGCATCGGTTACCCAAACGGTTTTCGACCAAAATCCAGTTGCCATTTTCGGGGTCTCGAAGGTTTTGTTGCCTAGAGAGATTTTTGGGAAAGATCCGGCGGGGGTAACTTCGAAGCCGGGGAATGCAGTGGTGGGGACAACGGTTCAGCCTCCGGAAATATCTCCGTCACCGGAGAATTCACCTGGGTTAAGTGGTCCTGCTTCACATCTATCGTCGCCGCCGGGATTTCGTGCTGAGATAAAATCGGACGGTGAGAATTATCGAGTACAGAGCTGCATTGTTGCTCTGTGTTGTATAGGATTGTATCTAGTTCTATGAGCTTGAAGCTTAATTGTTTTCTATCTCTAAATTACTGATTTTTTTTGGGTTCTTTTTTATTATTTTTGGTTTTTTAACACGGTGAATTGAATTATTGGCTACAAAAGCAGCCATTTTTTTTCCTTTCTGGAATTTTAGAGAGAGAGATATTAAAATTTTTAATCTGTCTATGTCCTAATAATTTATATATTAAAAATGCATCATTTTTTTCTTCCCCTTTCTTGTTGTAAAATGTAAAGCATTCGGTTTTGGTCATTTAGTATCCCTGCATTGTACCTAATGAATAATTAATGGAATTTTTCAGAAAATTTGCGCTTTGTTGCCCTTTATTTATATATATTTTATGCATATAAAACTCTGGGTCTTTGAAATTCGATCGGATTAAGAGAAGGTAAAGATGGAAGATTTTGGAGTTGAATCTTCTAAATTCAAGACCTTTTTTTTTTTCTCTTCTTCTGTTATTCTTATAAAGCTGTAAAGAACCAAACTTTTCCCTTAAAATCCTGACATTTCAGGGCTTTCCAGCACCACCAGTTTTCCCCCTTTAAAGAACGAAGAGAAAAAAGAACAGGTTATTTTGTTTTATTTTGGCTAGAAGGAAAGAGGTACAGGAAGAAGCTGTGGTGGGGGGGCATTTAAGTCAAAAGAGAAATGCATGCATTTTACCAGAAAACTGCAGAGAGAGAGAGAGGGAGAGAAGAATCTAACGTATTTGGATTGTAATGGCGTCTTGCTAGATTTTTTTTATATTATGACATTGCATTGCTGTAAGGGCAATAGTGAAGAAAGCAAAAGAAAGTGGATGACAGAAGGCAGGGTGGGGGATTCTGGTCTGGTCTGGTCCCATGATTTCCTACGGTTGCGATAAGAGAATGAGATTTAAGAGAAAGTCTGCTTGGCCGTCGGATGTTTGATTAAATCACTGTGCAAAAGCAAAACAAAAGAAGACAATGTACGGGGAGATCAAGGGTGAGGTGTGCTTCAACTGAGTACTCACTGATTCCAAGTAAAATGAAGGACAGGGGCACTTGTCCGATGGTTTCTGCCATTTTAGAGACTTTGTTGAGATTCATAGGGACGATATTGATGGGACCAGGTTGGAGAATTTTTCAACACTGCCTTTTGGCTAGGGAACCCCACCATGAGTAGAAAATTTCGTAAAAGCCTAATAATGCGATGATCAATCACACTTTGCTTTCCCTTTCTTTCTTTTCTTTTCTTGTCTGTAAAATGATCGAAAATTAAACTTGAGCCTAATCATATTGTTGAGCTTTAAGGGGATCGAAAAATGAATTTGATCCCATCACTAAGATGGATGTTTGATGTTTAGCCATGGAGATTGGATTGATGGGTGTTCAGTTTGAGCTCCATTGAAATGGTGTTATCTAAGTTAATTGTGTGTACTAAATGGGTGATGGGTGATTGGTACATGTATGAAAGGCCCATTGGTATATACCAAAGAAAAGAAGGAGCCCAATCTTAGTTGACCCTTTTCTTCATCTAGGCTCAACAAACTAGAGGCAAACGTACTCGGCCTTCTCATCTTAGGTCTTCTTCTTAATGAGCCAATACGATTCCTACCCCACCCCACTTAACGGTTACAACTCACTGAGCTGCTTTAGGGCGGAGCCCATATCAATCAATTTGGGTTTGAACAACAAACTCACTCCCATCTGTGAGGAACAGAAAGAGCCTAGTCCAGGGATTGTGTGAACATCTTTTTCAAGTCAAATTGCAATGTTTTTGTTATGAAATACAATAACCTGTCAGCGACATCCCCATCCAAAGGAAACAAGAAGAGAGAACTGGTCTCATGGTCAATTGAATTTGAACTTGGGAATTGTGCTGTAACTGAACTGTTGTTACATTGAATTGTGAGTGTCTGACTCGGTCACAAGCAAGAAAGTTGGGTCAATTTATAAGAAATTCAACATGTTGGTGTTTTACTACTATTTTATGATATTTATATACACATATACTTGCTATAATTGAATAAGAAAGATTGAATAAACCGAAATCCAAAGTCAAAGTAATCGAGTTGAGTTTGAAATTCAGCAATATTGACAGGATCAAAACATGGGAACAACACAGTTGATTGCAAATCCTTTTGAATGTTGATTTGCAATAGTGAGTCAAGAGAGACCCTCCTCTCCTGCCTGCCTTGTGCGTGCTCACGTAAGATGCTACAGACAAGATGGTTTCCCCATGGCCGCATGTGGAAGAGGTGAATGGCCTTAAGATAGATCGCCACAGAGGGACAAGATGTCACTTGCGTGGGTCGCATCGCATGCGTGTCTTAAAGATAACAACAAGAGAAATTGGGTGACAAATTGACAAATTTTGTTACTTAAAAAATATTTTGGGTTTCCTAAAATTGTACTTATAAATGTTTGTTAATAATTCATTGGTAGGCATAAGAGCACGTATGGAATACCAAAAGAAGAGGTAGGGAGAGATATCAGAGAGAGAGAGAGCAATGCGAAGTTTATGAAATCATCAGAAATTAATATAAGGGAGAGGAACGGGATGTGGGATCAATCTGTAAATAAGTGGAGATTGGTGGTGGTGATCCTGATAGCTCATGACAATGACCATGGTGGCTACACCTTAATTTCCCAGTCAAACTATCTGGATTGTGTTTGCTCAATGGCTGGCATTCTCTCTTTCTATTATCTTTCTTTATACTTCCCAATTTTCCCCCCCAACTTCCATATCCTTGCAAACTAAGTTTCCTTGACTTTTATCACTTCAACATTCTTTCTGTAGTTTGAACCATATATGTATAAAATAATTAGGCGGTGTTTGATTTCGTTTTTGCGTGTCCTAATATGAAAAGCACCAAGCAGAAATTAAATCTAATAAAAGTCAAAAAGAGAGGATAACAATTTTTTTTTTTGTTTCCCCCAAGCTTATTCTTCTTATGACTTTGATTAATTTCTTTCACATTTCATTATTAGCCATAGACTATAAGACGCCTATCAAATTCTAAATTGCCCTTATGTTTTGAATTTCACATTAATGTTTTCAATAATTCTTGATAGTTTTCTGGCGTGAAATATTGATACTTCACTGTAATTCTACAATAGGAAACATGGGTTTCTTTTACATGTTGTGTGGGGAGTTGAAGTTAAAACGAATGGTCACACAAAAACAGGATTGAGACAAGACAGAAAGGTAGAAGATTAGACCGCAACAGCATTAAAACCTATGACTTTGTGGGGGGATATTTTCAGAAGTTTAAACTGGTATGAATATGTCCATATGTTCCAGGAAATGTGTTTCAAGAACTCCACCTACCTAGGACAACAAATTCAATGTTCCTCCATTTTTTCAGACACATGATTCAGGATTTGTGTAATATGGATCTTCCCCATGTTACCAAAAGCTGGAGTGAAAGGAATTGAGTAGGCCAAATTGAAAAGAAGAAGAAGATGAAGAGTTAAAAATCGTTTAGCTGAAGTGGACAGCAATAGAAGTCAACACAACATGCAATGGTGCCAGCAAAGCCTATAGGTCCACCAGGTAATAAAACAAAGACCCACTCATAACAAAACTCCACAGCTTGAATTGAAAAAACACCCACCGGATATATGGAGGAAAAACTAAACAATTATTAATTAATATCTATTTAAAGTCAATATTTTAGGCACCCAAAACTATATAAATGTGTATTTCTTTTTTATAAGGTCCAGCTTGACGAGTCAATGTATCAGGCCACTATATTTCTTTCCAAAGCTTGCTTATTTAAAGTTCAGAAAATGTGTTCTACAGAATAAGGTTGATGAATTAGTCATTGTTCATGATGGAACCATTGGAAGTTTCCTGTCATTTACTACTATATTATTATTTATTTATTATTTTCCATGTAAATGATCAATGAAGGTTTTTGTTCCTCCATTTCAAGTCAATATCAAACCAAAACTACTAACCCCTTTCTCTCGATTTCTCGTTTAGATAAATAAATAGTTTCATCTTTTCAATCAAATAACTCCTTTGGTCAATTTTTTCTTTGTATTTTATTTTGATACATATTCAAAGAGCATGTGAGCTGTGAAAGTGATTAACGTATTGTTTGAGGCATAAAATATTAATTTTTAACAAGGATACGTTTTTAATAATTTAACTGGATAATATCGAATTGAAATTAAACAATGAAAATTTTACATCGTATTTAATTTTAATAAGTATAATAAAATTAATTCACTAATTTAACTCGAATACTACATTAATTCAAATACTAAAAGATAAGAAGAAAATTAGTGGAGGAATGAAGTTCATCAAGAGCCAGCTTTTTTGGGACGGCAAATTTTCTATCGTCTTCGTCTTCATCTTCTTGGGAGAAGGTAAAGAAAAGAGGTAAAGCTGCGATGATCATGAGCAAATAGATTAGTCTATAAGACCATGATTGAGTAAGGCACTAATGAAGCGTAAAAACGAGCAATGTAACAGTAAGTTACAGAGTGAATGCTACCCAAAAGGTGATTGAATGATATCCTTTAAAAAAAAAAACACTAAAAAAGATTAAAATGGGATTTTTTTGTAGTAAAATATATGATAAGCAGCTTGAAATTAATAACTTAATGCTACAAACTTGGTCAAGAGATGAAGATCAGTTGAGATGAAAGATTAAAAAAATAAATTAAATTAAATTAATTCATAAGAAATCAAAAGATGATCGAGTGTATGTTTGACTAGATCATGCTTTGAAATTATTTGGTTACATATTCTAGAAGTATTCAATACAAGATGCCCAAAAACAGGGCTAACAATACAATATATTTATTGTCTTCCAAATTAGATATATCTTCTAGATTTTTAATTTAAAATTGCTCAATATAATCTAATCAAGGTTCAAACGATTCCAAGTTTTGACATGCAAAGAAAATGAGTATAAGCATAATTAATTAATTAATTGATAAAAGAACTAGTGTATTGAATTATTTTAAAAAATTTAAATAAATATTTTACTTCTTTATCACATTTAATAAATTTTTATATTTTTATTTTAAGTCTAAAAAATCTTTATGGTTAACGATCATTAATCAAAACGTTATTTGTTAATTTATATTTTATGATATTGACGTAATATTAAATAAATGAAAAAAATATTAAATAATTATATCATATATCACATCATTTTTTAATACGATTTATTAAAATAT